CAACGGTGGAACATCATCATCAGTAGTGACGGGCAGGTGTGCTACCCGATGGGATGTAATCGGAGTTGACTGAGCATCTGTTGAGCAATTAGAACATAACAGATGTGACAAGTAGTATCTTGACTTCATCACACATCCCACAAGAAGGACATGGATGATATGATGGAGAAGCCGATGGTCCGTCCCGCATATAAAGTACATCATCCAAAAATATTGTTTAGTCCAACCCACTGATTGGAGTTTTAGAAGCATTGCCAAAAAAAAGCGAAAATAATTGTTCATCAAATTTAGTGTGTTGGGTAATATAGCGGGATGACATTGGCTCAAGACATCGGTACCCGTTGTATTGAGAACAATAACCAAGAAAAAAACATAGATCTTGTTAAGCCAAAAGTATCTTCAATATTTTCCCAAAATTCTTCCGAATCTACAAGGATAAAAAATTGATTTATGTAAGAACATTCACAAAAATACATATATATAAATCATGTAAGATTCACATGTGATTGTATCTTTTAAGAGTCACTTGTGATTGTATATTTAAGATTTAAATGTGAAACTCACAAGAAAATTTAAAAAAATAAATAACGAAGAACGCTCACGCAAAATGCATGTGTACATGCAGAAGTAATTTATATGTGATTCACTTGTGATTTACATGTAAATCACTTGTAATTCATATGTGATTCACGTGTGATTTATATGTGAATTACATGTGATTCATATGTGATTTACATGTGAATCACATGTGATTCATGTGTGAATTACATGTGATTTACATGTGAATCACATGTAATTCATATGTGATTCACTTGTGATTTACATGTGATTCATATGTGAATTACATGTGAATCATATGTAATCCATATGTGAATTACATGTGAATCATATGTAATCCATATGTGAATTACATGGTTAATTACCATATGATGGTTAATGAATTACAAGGACTTCGGTTGAATATGAATTTTAGAACAATTCCAAGGATAAAACTAAAAGTTATCGAGTTGCAGATAGGATCATATTGGTTCCATATTCCATAAATTTTACCAAAGGTTGAATATGTTTTATATTTTACAAGTATAACAGTTAGTTTGCAACAAAATCACAAGTACAAGATTGATGTTGAACATGGAGTATTTAGACAAAGTCCTAAAATAAACTTACATATTATGATGCATTCGAACATGCATTAGTTGGAGAGTTGTCTTTCACACCTAAATATGCATATCTTGTTTCACTCTTACACAACTCCTCATCAAATCTGAGCTTCCTATAAACAATTATTTATGAATCATTGGAAAAGAATTCTAGAAACCAAACATTTTTTTTCAATTATCTAGAATAAATAAGAATCAAAAAGTGATATACTTACACAAATGAACTCAAAGAGATGTCAACATGAACATAGCGTCCTTCACATCATGTTTAACAATGAAATCATAGCGTCCTCCTGATCGTATGCTTTCAACATGTGCTTTTGTTGTATCTAAAAGCAATATCATCTGCCTTTCTGTTTGTATTTCTGACTGCAATCAATCAATCAATCGACTTCAATACTTCTTTCAGTAAATATAATTTCAACAAAGGAAACCGTATACTGGACTAGCAATTGGACTGATCGTGATTGTAATTAACCAAATAAAAGTAAAAAAGTAAATATCACCCAGATTATTATATCCTTGACTTTAAAATTTGACCTATTTTTGATGCTTATGTAACTACAAAACGTATCGCCAAGATCAAACAGGTCTAACCCTAAAAAAAATTATATGCATTGAGGATAATTACTTAATTCACAGGACGTGTGTGCGTGTGTGATGAAAATATGAATCTACCCCGAACGACTGTGGGAGGAATAGGATACCAGATACGCCCATAGCTTCAGAATCATCATGGAGGAGGAACTGATTGCGGTAGGTGAGATCGATAGGTGAGGATTCGAAGGAGGCTGAACTAACATGGAGGAGGCGTGTATCGAAAAAGGAACTATTGAACAGATCAACGACGACGATTCAATAAAATACCTCAAAAATCAAAACTTACATTGATCATACATTGATTTTCAACGATGTATCTCCACTCATAAGTGATTCCCTCGGATGCCTCTTTTTCCGATTTGGAAGTAAACACCATTAATCGTCGCTTCTGCTTAAGCATATTTGTAATCTCCGACTAATCTCCATCGATTTTAGGCATTTGACCCATCAGAAACATGTATTTGGTCAAAACAAATGTCGTCGACGATCTGGAGATTATCGAATATGGATGGTCGGAGGCGAGATGGCCGAGGCGGGATGAAGGGGTGAGAGAGAGAGAGAGAGATGATATGAAGGGAGAGAGTATAAGGATGATCGAATGAACTAAATTATCTTCTCCCTAAAATATCCTTTGATTCATTTTAATAAGGTACCCCCGTGTTATTTTTTTCCAGTTATTTACAACAATGCCACAAATCATCTTGACCTTCTATTATTTTGATCTAACGGCTCTTGTTTGGTTCTCGGGTTCTCAGGTATGAATTCTCAAATGGTCCTTCCTATACAGTTCCATCATTCCACCCTTCCTTCTGATACCACCACTCAGTGATTCCAATCAGACATTGAGAACATATCATCCATCGCCTCAAGACCTCAAAACTCATTTTAATCCACTTCTTCAACCGCTTTCCTTCTCCTTTTTGTCACAATCTTTGCCACCATCCCGTTCGTTTGATGAAGGACGAAGAAGCTACTCTCGGCGACGGCGGCTTACAGTTGCAGTCCTTCTCCGCTTCTTCTTCAGGTCACCAGCTTTCCCGGTGGGATCTCTCAATTTCTTTAGTTGTTGGTGCTGATATTGGTTGTTCGATTTTAAGTAATCTGTTGGATTTTTGGTGCAGGGAAAACTGGTACTTAACCACCAACCACATTATATGTTGACTTTCTCTTCACCACCTTCTTCAGATGTTCCATAGTCGTGTTCTTGTTGTAAATCGCTTCACCTATCGTGGTAGGGCTTCTTTTTCGTATTCCATCCCTCGACCACCTCCACTGCATCAAATCTCCCGATTTCGACATGCTTCGCCCACCACCGTTGCATCAGACTCCTTGACCACCATTCACCGCTGCATGTCTATCTTTGCAGTACCTTAAAGGAGTTTTTCGTCTTCATCTTATCTATTCCATGTGAAACAGAGTCTTCAATTTCTTCCCCTCACTTTTCTATTCTTGGAGTGTGATCGGGGATGTTAAACTCACATATCTATATTCCACAATTCGATTCTCACTCTTAACTTTGTATCAGTTTATTTTTTATTTTCTATTGATTTGTCTGATTTTTTTTTTGTTTCTGTTGTTTGCAGTGTCTTTTGGTAGATTCTGACGATGAAGATGAAGATGAAGATGTAGAGTTGTTGCCATTTTGCTTGGTCTGATGGACCTCTGTCATGGAAACAACGATTTAGTTGGGATGTTGGCCTCATGCGACTAAGGTAACGTATATGGTTCCTTTTTGGATCGTCTGTGATCACTTTTTTGGTCATACTTTCTTTAAATTAACTTTATTGAACCTTTAGTTTTCACATGTTAAGATGTACTTTTCGGTTTAATGATGTTCCATTTCATTTTCACAGGTTGCTGGAAGACCTCGAGCATGTTCTCAGGGCTTACATCGGTTATAGATTTAGACATTTCTAATTTCGAGTTCTATATAATTTTGAATATGTTAACGTTGTTGAGTTTTTTACATTGATTGCTGTTACATTGGATACCAAATATTAGAAGGTTGGCAACCGATGTTCCAATTTTATATTTATACATTTGATCTTTATGTTTTCGATTTCTGAACCATATTAAATTTGTTAGTATTGTTTCATTTTTTACTTTTAATGTTGTTACATGGTTTCCTTGCATCGTATAATCCTTTTCATGAAGATTCTTGACTGTAGAAACTATTTTTAATCAGCTTCCATGCCCATTCATATTTCTGTTTGGTATTGTTTATAGATGTGGGTGGTGCCATTGTCGAACATTTCGGTTTCCTGCCACACGTATATGGACATTGTAGTTGGGGCCCTTAAATAGAGGTTGGTAATATAACCTTTTACGACAAGAAATAGCAAATGTATTTTGCTTCTTTTATCAATATAGACAATGTATTATATTTTTTTACCTATGATGGCAACCAAAATTTTCCATTATCTACATTTGTTGCAAAATGCAAGTACTGATGAACACTGAGTATATCCTATTTGGGTTTTAATGACCTTTTATTTTGTTAAAACAAACATATATTTTGTAGATAGACTTTCATTTGTTATAATTGAATAAATGTACCAAAATACAATGTTATAATAGGAAGAAATGGAAGCATGTTGTTTTTTATTGCATCAACACATTTTTTGTGCCATTTGAAGGCTGAAGGTGTTTTTTGAATAAATGCATATAACAACTAGGAAGAACATTTAAGGGATCAGTTGAGTAGTGTATTGTGGTAGATAGTAACACTTATTACCGAGTCTCATTTATAAAAAGTTAAACTAAGAAATTTAACAATTCAACAACATACTTTACAAAGGAATACCCTCCAACCCTGCAACCCAGAGAATCTTCTCTAGTTTATAAATTAAAATAATATTTAGCATGGTGGTTATTTCCTCTGGTAAGTACTAGGAAAATGACGATGAGGTAGTTGAACTTTTTTGTATTATGATGTTATGGGTACACCTCATAGCTTTATATAGCTGTATATCTCATGTATTTAAGTATTGCGGACCTTTTCTCTATGCGATATTCATCATTTGGGCGTACCTTTCTCATATTACGTCCACGAAAAATATTCTTAATTAAACCCAATTCGATTAGCATTTTTCAGTTAAGCTTGGATTAGGTTTAGCCAAAGTCAAACTAGATATCCCATTAATATTTAAAAAATATTAAATTTCACACCATATATAGAAAAAGTGAACTTAGTGGCCATGATACATTAACCACCATGCAATATCTCTTTTTTGTTGCAAAATGATGCAACTTCTACTTGCAATTCTTTGTGCTACCCCCAACATTAGATCAAGTTTCTCTGCAAAAGTCTTTCTATACAGTATTTTCTTTTATATTTTACGTAAAAATAACTTGTTTTTTTATCACTCTAACTGTTTCATCAGTCAAAAGTATCATTATCCGTTGCTCCAAAACTTGCCCTTTATAAAGCAACCAAAGGATCTTTGGCTTTTGGAGAGATCTTTGCAGTCAATTTGGCCCTTGGAATCCAAAAGTGAAGCAAAACAAATTGGCTTTTGGGATTTTATAAGAAGATTAGGCTCCTGGGCTATACACAATAGAAGCTTGGTTAGTGGAGATAGAGAGATGGCTAGGGAACGATGGAATACCACCAGTGGGATCCATGGGCTTGAATCAATACTTGGTTTTTGGGCAGGTGTAATGATGTTTGCACTAGTCCTTTTTGCAGTCATAATCTTTTCATGTGCTGAAGGAGCGGAATCAAAAGACAAAAATGATGGCGGAGGAGACACCACGGCCTATGGTGGTAGTGAATGTGTTGCAGGGTGTGGTGCAGGATGCGGTGGCTAGCTGGAAGTCCATTTGATCATAATTGAGCAGTGCCAACGACTGAATGAAAGGTCTTGCTAAATGTTTGTTTGCTATTGACATAATTAAAATTTACTTTCATTATTTTTGAACTTCGGTTAGCAATTGGAAATGATGATTAGGTAAGGGTAAACCTATTACTCATATAATTTTTGATAATTTATTAGATATGTCAGTCGTCAGATGTAAAATTTTAACATATAACTTCAAGATTATTATAAAAGAGTACCAATTATTTTGAGAAGACCAACTGTATAGTTTATAGGCTATATTGCAATTTTTATTTCTTAATTCTCTTTTCATTGAGAGAAATTCCCCTAATGCTGCTACTAACTAAAGTTTTCAGCAAGGCTTCAAACAATCTAACAGAAAAAGATTAGTCTTTTGTAGGACCAAACCCTTCTCACTCTAATTTTTCTTCATTTTTCAGGCCTTTTAGAACCGTCAGTCCAGTTTCAGGCCAACTTCATCAGTTCGTATCAGTTTTTTTTCATGGAATGGATTTTTTACAAAAAAATAAAAAATAAAAAAATAAAAAGACATGTTAATATTGCTTACAATTACAAAGTACATATATAGTTTTGAAAATGAAGTAATATAATTCTTAAATCTTTGTTTCTCTTCAATCTTTAGAATATATACAATATTCAATCTTTGATCGTCCATGTTTTATATTTATTTGTCCTTAATAATTGTAAGTAAATTAGAACCAACATTATTGATTTCCTATTCCTTGGGACTTATTTGAATACTATTTTAAGCATCTAAGTGTTTTATCTACTATTTATAAGTGGTAAATGTGAAAATTGCTAAAAACTGTATAAACACACAAGATTATAACTTGAACAGTTTCCTTTATGACTAAAAACCAGGTTGATACACAGACATTTTACAACTCTATGCCTCACAACAAAATCCTTTTCTACTCTCTTTACAAATCACTCAAAAATAGAAACATACAAAAAACAGAATACGTATGAACCCTAAAACTAACAGAAATCCCTAATCGTAAACGAGAGAAAGAGAGAGTATCACTATGTCTGTGTAAAGAGTTTCTTGACTTATGAGCCATCCAACTGCCTCCTCCATATAAATTGTGAAAGTTAATGAAAAACTCTCTGTGAACGATACACGAGAGTTACGATGATATAAATAGGAAAATAAG